TCCACAGCCAAGCACCAGGCTGAGCTCCAGGAGTCCAGCTGAAGAGAAGGGAGAGGGATTCTATGAGCAAGGGGGAATCAAGATCATGATGGGGAAACCTAGAGACAACTGAACCAAGTTTGTGGGAACTCACGAACTATAGACTGACAGCTGTGGAGCCTGCATGAGACTGGACTGGGCCCTCTGCATATGGGAGACAGTTGTGTAGCTTGGTCTATTTGAGGGGCCCCTGGCAGTGGGATCAGGATCCATCCCTGGTACATGAGCTGGCTTTTTGGAGCCCATTACCTATGATGGGATTCCTTGCTCAGCCTTGATGCAGGGGGTAGGGGCTTGGTCTTGCCTCAGCTGAATGTACCAGGCTTTGCTGACTCCCCATAGGAGGCCTTACTCTTTTGGAAGAGGGGATGGAGAGTGGGTTACTGGGGGAAAACTGGGGGGAGCAGGAGGAGGAATGAGAGGGGGATCCGTGTAAAAGGAACAAAAAAAATTCTTAAATAAAAAAAAAAAAAAAGAGGAGGTCATGTGTGAGTGTCGAGGGCTAGGCTGATCCAAAGCTTTTGCTGAGGCCCTGATCTATGGATGAATATGCTTGGCAGGGCCAGTATGGCCTGGCCAGGGTTTTGAGGGAGCAGCAGCTTCAGATCCTGAGAACCCAAATGTCTCATTCTAAGGCTGCTGCATGCTTAGTCTGTGGTAATTTTTTTTTCTTTTTTTTTTCGAGACAAGGTTTTTCTGTGTAGCTTTGTGCCTTTCCTGGAACTCACTTTGTAGCCCAGGCTGGCCTTGAACTCACAGAGATCTGCCTGCCTCTGCCTCCCGAGTGCTGGGATTAAAGGCGTGTACCACCACCGCCCGGCTTAGTCTGTGGTAATTTTGAGCTGTCCTGTGTCCCTTTGTGCAACATTGCTTGGTTAGCTTCCTGCTGACTTTGTCCCATTCATTGTGTGACAGCTTGATGCTGGCACTGTCCCATTTCCCCCTAAAAACTGTGTGTAAGATGCTGGACTTCTTAATAAGCTTGTTTGGCATAAGACTTAGCTGATGCAAAACCTCTTGACCTCAGATTTCCTGTCTTTTACCTTCTCATCTCCTGGCTCTCCCCCTTAATACTCTGCCACAGAAGAACAACCTGCAGGTCCAGGTCATGTGAGAGTGATTTTAGGATTTTGTCAATGTTAGGGTCCTGGGGAAGTCCCACAAAGGACAACCATCCACATATGCAATCAACATGAGCGTTTATTATTCTAGCATGCTGGGACCTGCCATCTCATACAAATGCAAGATGGTGAAGCTCCTGAGAGGAACGTGTGGGCTCATTTTAAGCATAGCCAAGGGGGAGGTCCTAAGGCAGTTAGGTCATTTTAGATATAATTGGCTTAAGCAAGTGACAATCATGTTAGTAACTTCTAATTGGCTAGGATTAGTTGGGGGTTGGTCAGGGCATAGTTATTCCAATTTTGGGCAGGGTTGGACAAGTTCCAGGCTTCATCCTTATTTGGTTATCAGTTTGAGCTGTTTATGGCTCAGGCCTGGACTGCATGTAGCAAGCTCCTCATCCTTGCTGTTGGGGATATTGGAGATTAATTGTCCCTTGTTCATGGCTCTTCCTCAGAAATTGCCTGTCCAGTCTCAGGAAACTGAAATTGAGGCCTGATCTCTGAGAGAAGACTTAGCAGCCTGTTATTGCATCTGCTCGGTCCTCTCAGTCGATACTTTTTCTGAATCTCTTGAGATGCTCATATGCTTTTCCTACTTTTATCTGATAATGTGGTGAATTACATCCTTTCTCCCTAATATTAAATTGTTGTGGGATATTTTGATTGCACTCTGACACTCCTGAGACTGACTGTAAAGTTTACCTTGAATCAGAGGGCAGAGCTGGCTACTTACTGACCAGAATTATCCATAGAGGTTTTGGAGGACCCAGGACATATAGAGAGACACAGGACGTAGTAGGGGTTAGAAAGATACACAGGCCCTTTTGGATTGAAGAAGAGAGAAAGGAGGTCACTGGTCCTTTCTTTGCTGCTTCTCCGATCAATCAGGTTTTTACGCCAATATTTGACTCTGGAGTTTTATTTAATAATAGAACAATATAAGTAATTGCTTCATTAAATCATTTTGCAACTCTAAGATTAATCTGACTTAGTCATGATGTACTGTCCTTTCCCCTAAGTTACTGGATTCAGTTTGTTGGTATTTCCATTAGAATTTTGTCATGTATATTCTGAGTGTAATATCATCTTGTAATTTCCCCTTTCTTGGGGAAATTTCTTGGGTTTTTTTTTGTTGGATTTTAGGATAAAAGAGTACTTCTGGCATTACAAAGTGAGCTGGGGATTTTCTCTTCCTTTTGTATATGTTGAAAGGGTCTGTGTTAAAATTCGCTTTGTAGCTTTCATTAATGTTTAAGGGGTCACTGGTGACATGGTCAGGGCCTTAGGGCTTTTTTTTTTTTTTAACTAATTATAGATTCACTTGCAGCTTTAGACTTAGCACAGTGAGATCCTGTGTACCAATGCTTATAATTCTAGAACTCAGTGTTTAATATAGTGGCTTATAGTTTCTCCTTAGTGATTTTCTTACAAAATGATCATATACAGCATATGTTTTTTTATGCCACTGAGTGTGGTTGCCAAGTGGAGCATCAGAAAGTACTGATTGAGAGCTGGACTTTCCTGGATGCCTGATCAGTGTGCACCCAGGACCGAGGCTCTCTTTCCGGCTAATCATGGTCTCTCTATATTGCATTTTCTTATTTGTGCCCTAGAGACACTGAGAGTGTTCCTGTTGTCTGTGTTGGGGAACATTCTGCCCATTGCACGCAGAGCAGGGTCTATGACTCATCAGCTTTGTAGCCCTTCTTTTGGACCACTCAGGACTGCTTGGTCTCATTGGTCAAATTGACCAGCACTGGTATCCGGATTTCATTTTAGTGGGAAACCTTGGCTGGAAGGGATGGACTCTGAACACAGTGAGGATGACTAGTGGCTTTAGAGGCATGGCAGGTAAGTAATGACTAGGATTTTTGGCATAGACATTTACATATTAAGATGATATTCATCTGGACATGAAGGACCATTATTGCATCAAAAGGCTTTAGTTTAGTGGGGTTTTTTTTATTTTTATTTTTTAAAGACAGTCTCCCTAGCTGGTCTGGAAATAACTATGTAGATAGACCAGGCTGGTCTTGAACTCACAGAGACTCACCTGGCTCTGCCTCTAACCCTGAGTGCTGGGATTAATAGAGAATCCCATGGCTACATGGTGAGACTCTGTCTCCAAATAAATAAACAAACATACAAACAAAAACTCGACAGCTTCCTGGCCTGCAGTTGGGGAAACTTGGGACTCAGCCCTGTGCTCGTCCCTTCAGCTTTTCTGGACCTGTGTACTCTCCTCAGTTCCCTCTGCCCTGTAGAGACTTTCTTGTGTCTGTCCTTGTCTGGGTATCTTGGCCTTTTTCCAAACTTGGGGTATCCCCAAGACCTCTCCCCCCACCTAGGGTTGCCTAGAACAGTCCTTTCCCACCCATATCCTGACCCTACAGCTACTGATAGTTACTTCACTGGTGTTCAACGTCCCAGGCCTCTGTGCCCATAGGGTAGGATCCCTGTCGTGACCATTTTGCAGCCTCTGCCTACATGTCCCGGGAACTCTCCCTCTCTTGAGAGTTTCCCCGTGGACCCCCTTGTGTCTCTCCCCAGGAGAGTTTCCCCTGAACAGAATGACTTCAGGCTGTGCACGGATAGTTGACTAAGCTCCCAGGCACCTGGGGCATGGGTGCAGGTCAGGAGACACGGGCATGCTCTTGGAAGTCTCTCCCTTTCCTTCCTTTCAACCGGACACCTGTACCACCTGCCAGGGAAGATGCTCCAACTGCAGAGCCAGAGGCTGGCCACTGATTTTTGTAACAATATGGAACTCTACCCCATGGCTCTTCTAGCCTCCGGCTTTACTGTGTGCAGAGATCTCATACAGCCGTGATGTCTACGGGGCCAGCATTCTGGCTGTTCTCTCTCATGCGAACTCATTGCTTTTGCCTCGTATATTGGTAGGCAGGTTGTGACCTGTACTGTTCATCAGGCATTTTTATTTAACTCAGATCATCTCCTCCAAAAATTACTCCCAAGTGAGCATTCCTGTGTGCACTGTTGATGAGCTGGGCTCTCGTACTTCTTGGGTTTCATAGCTTTAGACTCTAGGTTCCATGCAGACTAAGCCTGGATACAGAGATGTGTTTTGGAAAACAATGGCTGAACAGAGCAGATGTGGCTGCAAAATTGTTCTGGCCATGGGAGGAACAAAACTGAGGCAGACATCTGGGCACATGGAGCTCAAACACTCTTTGTCTGAGTGGCCTCCTTGGCTGGGGCAAGATGGACCTTTGGGATGTCAGGTGAAACATGAGCTCCCGCACCATTACAGGCAGGTCTTGGAGTGAACTGTACCCATGTGATGAGCACAGGCTTGGGTGGGGCCAAGGTCAGGGAGAGTGGGCAGTTGGTCACTGTGCTCTGCTTCGCATCACATGATTGCATTGGGCTCAGGCTCAGTGCTCACCACACAGGAAACTGCTGGACCCCACCCTCCCACAAATGTTAATGAGGCAGATCTGGAAAGCAGAGGCCAGGGGAGCTGAGGCTCAGGCTTTGTATGTGGGTAGATCAGATCAGAGACCAGCATCCATTCCCTGTAGATGAACGGAGCCTTTTCTGTTCTGAGCCTCTGCTTCCATTGAAATGGAGCGGTGGTAGCGCACACCTTTAATCCCAGCGCTCGGGAGGCAGAGCCAGCCAGATCTCTGAGTTCAAGGCCAGCCTGGTCTGCATAGAGAGTTCCAGGAGAGTTGGGGCTATATAGAAAAACCATGACTGGAAAAACAAAACAAAACAAAACAAAAAACAACAAAAAACCCAAACCAAACCAAATCTTGGGTCTCCCATTTGTCAATTCTCACTTTCACAGCTACTGACAGACTAGTGCCCAAAAGGTAATTCTTTTTCAAGTTTTATTGTAAAATCCTCAGAAAAAGAGCATTGACAATGACCATACTTTATGATAATCTGTGAGTCTTTTTTTTCTTTTTTTTTTGTCAAGTGGTACAGTAAATACATCATGTGTTCAATACCGTGTCATACATCAAAATAAACACAAACTTATTTCAAATGCCACATACTGTTACTGTGTTGGTACAAATTTCTACTAAAGTTGATGTATTAAAAATAATTTATATATATCTTATAAATAAGGAAAAAATTCACATGTGTATAATAATTACAGGCGGCCTTTTGAGAAATACTGATTACAGAAAATATATTTCGGAGTCCACACAACTGCTCAAAAGAATGTAGCTTGCCTCAATGTAAGAGATCCAAGGGTTTTTCTGAGGCGGGGAAAGGGTGACGATCTCTTGGTGGTGTGTGTAGGGGGTTCCACAACTCGAAGGTCATTCGGCAACACAATAGCGTGACATGGTGTGCGACCACTCCAGCAAAACTTCATGCCCAGTTTCACTTTGGGTCATTTCACACAGCCTTCAGGAAGCAGGGCAGCAGCACTGGGGGATATGGGGAGCCCTGGAGCCAGGGCAGGGAGGGAGGAGGGCGGAGGAGGCAGGCAGGGAGGGTGTGGATGTGGGGTGCTACCACCAGGGGGCACAGTGGGTCTGGGTCTGGTCGCCTGCAAGCTTGTTTCTCTCCCATCTCTGGAGACGGCATGCTAGACAGTGGATGAGGACTTGGAGTTTAGAGAGTCCCTGGGCCTCACAGCCAGCCACTGCTGGCTTCCCTTTTTCCAGAAGGTGAACTGTGGAGAGCAACAGGTCACCAAGACTTGGTGTAGGGGCCCAGTCCATACACAAGGCTTTGCGGGCTGTAGGCAGGGTTCTCTAGAGCTGTCTAGGGTAGGGCCATGTTTTCTAGGCCACTAGTGGCTTTTCATTGGAACACTAAAGCAGCAAGGCATCATGGCCAGAGGTCCTATGATGCCTGTATGGTAGAAAGCTGATGCTCCATGAATGGTGGGAACTGTCATGGGAGTGAGCCCTGGGAAATGGACTGTATCATGGTCACTAAGTTGAGCTTGGAAAGAAAGGTGCCTAAACAGTGACTTTGTCTAAAAAGCAAAAACACCCTAAATGCACTGGTGCCAGCTAAAAAAGCCTCACTATGAATTCTGGAAGTCCATTTCTTCTCCCCTTACATAGCCCATAATTTCACCCATTGTGTTGGGTTCAATGACACTTCCTAGCTAGATGCCCAAAGAGCCAGAGGAGAATGTGAAGACCTAAGATGATGCTCGCTTATTATCTCTAGGCACTTGCTAGGGAGTTGATGCCCAAGTCTAGGGGCCCAGCCAAGACACCCCAGATCCTCAAGCCAGTGCGATAAGCAGGCAGTGGCTTGGCTTCCACCAGCCGCTGGGCATCTTGTGGTCACACCCCGAGCTCCCTGCTCCTGTTGGATCTCCTAAGTGTCCTATTTATCATCTTTGTGGCCATGGAGAGAAACCAAACCCAGACAGTAATGTTTGTCCTGGACAAAACCACATTGCCTCTGTGGTGGCCTGGGAGCAAATAATCAAATGATAGCATCTAGTCTGTGAGTGACTTCTCATTTGAACCCTCAAAGCAAGGAGCAGGTGGGCAAAGGGCACACGAAGCTGGTGTGACAGAGAGTCGTTGCTCCTTGAAGGATGAGGGCCATCAAGGGGGAACTCGGGAGCAGGGGGCCTGGGATACCGGAAGGGAACCAGGAAGAAAGTGCGAATGAAGTGAGAAATGATGGAGAGGGTGGACTGCCTAGCATGAGGCCGGGCTGAAATTAAATGCCACCAGCTCTCTCCCTGCTGGACGAGGGTCCCTTTTCCTGACCACCCTGATGGTGCTTTCTCTAGTCTTCGGCTTCTAACTGGGTAGGACCGAGAACTAGGTTTGGGTTGTGATTTTGGACAGCAAGGTGCTATTCGCGGGTTCTGATCATATGTGGGGTGGGACTGGGGTGGGGCTGGTGGAGGACTTCCGAGTCAGGACTACAGTAGTCTTCCATCATCTCTGGCCTCCTGGGGTGGCATTCTGGGGGTGCGGGGTGCCCGGGAGGAAGATGTGAGGTAGATTGGTGGGTGTGCAGGAGGGAGGGGAATGGCAACGATTTCCGAGGAGGCTTGCTTCTGGAAGAGAGGGTTGGGGAGACAGCTGTGGTGCTTGTTAGTGAAGATGGTCGAGCATCAGTGGTATCTGAATGAAACACATGAAACAATGAAGCAACTACACTTTAGCCTGTGATACAAAAATATATCCAGAGCGAATCTGTTTCCCATCTCAGTTCTGAGATCTCCCTTAGTTCACAGGTTATTGGTCATCGGATGAACGAAAAGATGCAGCTGTACAGAGCCGACTCCTGCTGCGCTGGATGAAGACTGGAAGTTCCCATGCTCTGTGGCAGCAGGCTTCTGCTGCTCTTGGCTCTGTTTGGGGGAGCAGTCAGTCCTCCTGGGTGGTTTCCCTTCAGTTGGGAGCCCTTTCCTGGACAGAGAGCCAGTGGAGGGGAGATAGCTCTGTTGGTGATGCTCACTCTCTACCTCACTCAGAGAACCTGCAGCATAGCATTAGTATGTGATCCCAGCCATGACTTCAGGCCTTTTCCAGCCTCCTCCTGTGATTCAGGAAGGCAGCAGGATGTTTGTGTGACTTGGGAACACAAGACTGAAGAGATCCCTTTAACCATACTGGGGATAGTCCACCCGCAGGCCTGTTTGGACAAGAGGATCACACACTCAGTCTGAAGCAGGAAGGTTCTCTTCCATGCGTTCTGGGGTGGCTGGGTAACATGTTGAGAGTGAGGACTTTGGGGCAGAAGGAGAACCTGTAGCTACAGGTGCACAGAATTTGTTTTCTGGAAAGAAAAGAACAGTTGAATGTTTGCATCATCAGCTGAATGTTAAGAATTACGGGTGGAGTTTATTATATAAATAGCTTTCCTGGTGATTTCCTTGGTTAAACCAATCTTTCCCTGGTAAACTGTTAGTTGTCAATCTTTGTGTTCAGACCAACCCCCACAGGCTGGGCTTGTTGCAGGAGACCCACTCGTGGGTGGTGCTGACATCTTCTGCCAGTGGGTTTTAAACTTGACTCACGAGTCTCTCTCTTCTGGCCCCAAAGTGAAGAGACCGGGAAGCCAGGAATGATTTCCCCGTGGTCCTCTGCTTTCTACTGGTGTTCTCGCCAGGAAGCCATTCCACTTTTGTGACGCATCCTGGGCTGAGTTATTGACATCTGGACTTCAAGTTTCTTCTGAGTTTTTGCTTTATGTCTTACATGCAGGTCACTGGACATACGCTGTCTCCAGTAACTCGACCAGAAGAAAAGAGAAATCTGGGAGTGACTTCCAGGAGTGTGCAGAAATGGGGGGGGGGGCAGTGGTCAAGTAGCACACCTGCTTTTTTCTTGTTTGTTGGACTAGATCTGCCTTTGACTTTGGAATACTGCATCCAAAGAGTGTGGGTACCCTTGCCTTGGTGGGCTTGGGGAGATGATGCTCTGCCTCTTTGAGGCTCAGGGATTCGTCTGTCTGAGGCAGACACTATTGTTCCAAAAGGAGAAATGTGTGAACATTGGAAGATTTTAGTGAAAACATGGGACTCTGGAATCATATTAAGATACTGAGGTGGATAAAAAGGGGTAAGAGATGCATCACCATCTACCCCATTGTGAAGCTGGCCATTAGGCCTGTGAGGTCAGCATCCTCAACTTCTATGTGTCTTGTCATTACCCAAATCTGAAACATGATAGCACATGTATAGCCTTGGACTGTAAGGGACAGTTGTTTAGTGGCCTACGAGGCAGGAAACTGGAGTGAGCAATGGGGGTTGCACACGCATGCAGGAAGCTGGAGGGAGGTGCAGTCTGTGTTTTCAAAGTCATGGCCATTGTTGGTAGGTAAAAGGGGCTAAGTTAGCTGAAATGTCTGGGTTATTCCCACTGTCTCAATGCCGTGGGTTTGCAGAATAATCAATCATTCGAACTAGAAAGCTGGTAAGTTTTGGCCACAGACATGGGAGAGGACAGGAGTGTTCTGAGAAACCTAGGTGGGGGGTCTCTTTCTTGCTGAGAGTCTCTGACACAGTTGGTCCCCATAGGGCTGGGTCGTGCCTCTTCCTGATGGCCTGGGAGCCTACCACAGGCAGACAGGAGGGGCTGACACAGCCCTTTGTGGTCCTGCACGTTGGAGAGTGTGTAGATTGGAGTGTGGGAATGAAAACACTTAGGGAAAGGGGGGCTCTCTTGAGGTGTGGTGACAGGAGCTGAGGCATCAGTGCCGACCGCTCCTGCAGAAATACAGCCTTAGAACTCTGGATGGATGGCACTCATGGCTTCTGGATTTTGGCATTGTGCTCAGAGGCTGCCTACGCCTTACCAGGAAAGCCTGGTCTGCCCTGGGTCTGTACTTAGGCTGGCACATTAGCTTCCTTAATAACGTGTTGCCTTTCTATGGTGAAGAGCAGGCACACAGGGCTCAGCTTGGTCTCTTGGGGACCCAGCATGGATTTTAACACGGTAGTTATGGGCTGCACTTGGGCCCACACTATGGTGTGGGGGGCCACTATTTCTTGGATGTCTATTTTTTTCTGCACATGGGATGTACTGTTGGGACCCTCTCCCCTCAGAGACTTGGCCTAAGGCAGGGAAGAATATAACCGGGCCTTGGAGAGCATCTCTCTGCATCCTCGCATCTGAGATTATAAAAAAATTAGTTTTAATCAAAAAATTCCAAAATAAAGCAAGTGATTTCCCCATTCCCCAAGGTGTAGTAAGTCTCAGAGGCTCTCCCGCAGGGGTATAGCACTCAGCTGGAAAAGCAAGCAAGCAGCATCCGGGATGGGGCAAGTGAAGTCCCCAGCCAGGGGTAGAAGGCCAGCCCGCTAAGAGGGACAGCCATGCTCAACCCCACTGCCCAGGCCACTCCTTCAGGGCACTGGCTGGGGCTGGCGGGTGAGGATAATGACTATGTGAAGGCAACCGACGGAAGCGTCAGCCTGGGCAGCAGGATCCCTCGGTTCTGTGGTGTCCCCAGGCGACGTAGTGTCCAGCCAGGAACAGAGGTGATTTCCTTGCACACAGCAGCATGTGTTCTCATCACAGCTCAAGGCATTAAATCATACTTCTGAATGGAAACCCCCCGATCTTGGTTGCAGCGCATACCTTATCCTAGGGAACTTGCAAGGAGATCAGTGTTGAACCACAAAGCGAAGTACAGGGTTTGGCTTTTTTTGTCTGTGAAAATGTACAGTGCGCCTGGTTGGGGCTGTGGTGTCAGGACTAAGGTGGTACTCCTGGACCCAAGGTTCCTGACTGGACCCTTTCATACCTCCCCGACCCACACGACTGTGGCCACACCCTTTGTGCCCGACACCTCGCATCTCAGGGCATTTTGTCTCCCGTTGATCAGGAACAGCGACTCTTGAGCCGGCGTGAGGAGGTACTGTCCAAAGAGCCCGCTGTCCCTCAGGATTCTGCGGGGTCCACCCCAGGGTGGGGCTGGCCCCGTGGGGGGCTCCTTTAAGTTCTTCAGCCTGCCCATTTTCCCGGTGGACAGCTCGAGGAACAGCAGGTCTGGCTCCTTGTCGAGAGTGGCATAGGCGTTGAACTGATTGCCTTCAGTGAAGGAATGCTGAAATGCCAGGTCTGAGATGCCCGGGTTTATTTTTAGGTCATATAGGGTCTGGATTTCCCCCCGGACTGTGACCTCCTGCACGTGCAGCCAGGGGCCCTTGTTGGAGACACTGACGATGAAGCGTCCGTCAGGGGACACATGGGGGGTGCCTGTGATGTCAGTGTTAGGGCCCAGCACCGAGTCTGTGACACTGTCAATGAGCAGCTGTGTCCCGGCGGAGGTGGGGATGTCCTGCCGGCATTGCACGAAGAAGTAGCCGCCCAGGTGGGTGTGCGCCATGGCTTGAGGCATGCAGCCATGGGGCTTCAGGCTGATAGTCTTGAGGGGCATCAGAGTCTCCAGGTCAACTTTGTGGACAGCAGAGTCAGACTTGTTGAAGATGAACCCAAACCTGGGGGGAGAGCAATGGAGGTCAGGGAGCATGCAGCCACTGCTGGGGGGCAGCGGGCCTCTGTCATTTGTTTAAAATGATGGCATTCTAACCCTTGAGTCATCTACTGGTTTAGTAATAAGAGCTATCATTCTGCAGGGGACACCACAGAGTCAGTTATCTACATTCTTCAGCCTCATGCAGTTGAGTACAAATGTTCTTGGATTTGGGTTTGCAAAACCCACTCATCTTTGAAAAAAAATGCTTTTGAAGGGTGGGGGAAAGGCCCTCAATGGCTTCTCTCTGGAGGTGCCTTTGAGCCCCTTCCTCAGCTTGTGTTAGCTGGGGTGGGGATCTGGGCTTGTAGGCCTTGGAGAAAAAGACTGACTCTTGCCCGGACTGTCACGAGGACCCTTGTCAGTCGGCCTGCTCCTGAGCTGTCTGGTAAGTCAGAATTTGAAGTCACAGATGCAGCTAAACAAGGACAGAATTCCTGTTTGTAATCCTGACATCGGGGGAGGAATGCACAGGGTGGTCTCCCCTCTGGCATCCATGATGTGGGCAAGAAGAACCTCGGGCAGCTTTTGCCCCAGAAGCCACATGGCCTGGTGGTGCCATGGCTACAAAGCCTAGGACCAGCTGCTTGCCTCTCTGAGCTTCAGGGACTCTAAAAGAGCTCTATCTCTTCCCAGGGCAGTTGGGAAGATTGGATCCCAGAGGGAGCCCCCAGCAGATGGGACTTGATCTCATGTGGCTTCCTGAAATCTGTTGGAGACTGACTGCAAGTATGGAAGATCTGACTCGAGGTGAGACTTCCCCTGAGATCCTGTGCCCGAGTGTCTTGCTCACAAAGGCCCTTGGTGCTGAATGCATGCACTTAAAGGAATAGGAGAAATCGGTTTCTATAATTTCCTTCGGGAAGAAAAAAAAAAGGCATCTCCTGAGTGGGCAAAATGTCCCAGACATGGCCTTTAAAGCATCCTTAAAGAAGCAGAGGGAGAAAACGATGCCTTTAAAAGGAACTTGAACTTAAAAAGCCACTCAGGAGCATCTGTGCCTGCACCACTCCCGGCTGGATCCAGCATCCTGGTGGGGGTCTCGTGCATGCATTCAGGCTCTGAGGCCCTGCAGGGAAGAGGTTCTTAGGGAGGCTATTGTCCTCTTTAGGTCCCAGCATCAGCGTGCAGAAATGAATCATTTCTTCCTGAAGACAGTGTCTGATGTCGGTGCACAGAGGCATACACAGTGGGATCTTTGGGGTCTCGATGGCACAGCAGGGGACTTGTGCAGAGCAGCCTCTGGGTGCTCTATGAAGTGAGGAAGGAAGGGGAGTGGCCAGTCCCTAAAGACTCCGGGAACTGGGAACACTTTAATTAGAAGGTATGCTTAGGAGGGGAACCAGGCTCTGGGTCTGCTGTGCCGGGGGTGTGGTGGTGGGGTAGGGTGTTCACTTCTCTATCCAAAGGCAGATCAGGAAGTATTGAGAGGGAGAGGGGAGCATGTCTGCCCAGGCAGACACTGTGGGGCTGAGCACGGTGGCGGACCAATCCTACCTGATGTGGTTGATGATGAGATTTGTTGGGGGTATAAAGAAGTCATCCACTCCTGCAAACGGTGTTCGGATCAGGTGCTGGCCCTGGCCAGCACTGGCTTCGGTGATGACCTGTAACAGAGAGGCGCCCATTCAGGAGGGGCTGGAGCTCTGGGTATGTGCATGCGCAGCTGTAGGCCCCGCAGATGGTGAGATAGATGGTGGGAAAGCCCTAGTCTCAGGGAAGGGACAGGAGCCAAGGGGGAGCTGTTTGGGAATGTGGAGATTGTCTGTCTTTGCTGGAGCGGGAAGTGAAGGCCCAGATTGGCCACTCCCGCCTCAGTCAGACTTGGCAGTCTGCTTCCTGCCACCCTGCCGGAGGGTGGGGTGAGGACCTAGGGAACGATTTCCAAGGAAGATTCCCTCCCTGGTGAGGTAATGGGTCAGAGACAGCCTTCCTCACTTCTGGTGTTTGCATCTCTGCTCAACCTCAGGGAAAGAGCTTGAACAGTGCACTCATGGACTAGGACATTATTGAACATGTTTAGTGTTTTTGTATGTTTGTGTGGGGCAAGCACGTGTGTGTGCACAGGTGTGCATATGTTAGTAGAGGCTAGAGGTCAACCTTGGGTATCATTTCTCATGTCCTGTCTACTCTGTGTGTCTGAGCCCAGGTCTCTCACTGACCTGTAATTCATCACGTATCTGCTAGCCTCTACCTTCTCAGCACTGGCTTACAAGTGCGTATTACCATGACTGGCTTATTTTTCTTAAAATGGGGGCTCTGGGGATTGGAACTCGGGTCCTCAGGTCCTCATGCTTGCCTGACAAGCACTCTGACTGAGCCATCTCCCTAATCTGGAGTTTATTTGCTTTGAGGCTAGGTGCCTTAGCACAGGTTTCTGGGAATTTCTGTGAGACCCCAGAACTGGTGAGAGAAAGCAGGTGTCCTGCAGGGCTGTCACTCATGCCATGATGGCATTTTGCAGCGTGACTCTGGCTGTGCAAAGGGGACTTGCATCCTAATGTAAAGATTTTGGTCTTATGCTTTGCACAAACCGGAGCATGGTTGCCTCTGTCCTGCTTTCTGCCCTGTGGACTTGACAGAAAGCAAGTAGATCCACCTCCGGTGTGTGTCCCTGCAGTGTTGAGTCAGGGCGAGGGTAGCTAGGTGGAGGGAGAAGTTAGACAGGGTGAGACAAAACTGGGTCCCCTGGGTGAAGCCACTTGGCTAACCAAGGCGGCCCATGACCCCCTGCCTTCTGTATATGGTCATCCATCTGTAGGTTCTAGGCCACTGCCCAGAAAGAGGCACATCTACACTACAGTGTGGGCTTGGCCAGCTCACAGGCAAGTTTAGCTCAAGGGCACTGGGGGTAGGAAGCAGACCCTCAACTCTCAAGCAGGAGAGAAAAACATTTTTTTTTTTCCCAATCATATTGTGGCCATGACAGTAGTAGAAAGGACCCAGGTTTTTTGCAGCCCAAAGCCAGCCTACAGGACAAGGGCAGTCTCTGGTGGGGCCTGCTGAACACACAGTCTGAAGCATGCACACTTTGCCTTTTAGGAAAGGGACTGCCTTCTGGCTCTCTCTTTCATGACAAAACAAACAGCAGCTGGCTTGCCCGTTCATGCAGGTGTGAGGCTGGAGTCTTTGTGTATCTCCATGCTAGCCTTGGGGGTGGGGGAATGTCAGCAGGCAAGATGCTGGAGCAGAGGGATGCATGCTGCGATTTCTAGTCTCCAAGTGATTTTGAAGTTGTACAGAGCGTATTTTCCTGTGACTTTTTTCTGTTTAACAAATGGCAGGATGATGCTTTTTTGACAAGTTCGTGGGAGAGAAGCTCACAGAACTGAGCATTAAGAAAATATAAGGATTGGACACTGGATCTAAGAGTGTCTGGGAAACATGGCTGAGACTTCCAAGGCAGCATGCAATCGCTGTTTGACACCAGGCCTGCCATTTCAGCTTATAACAGAGATGGAAAATTACAGGCTGTCGTCGGTCAGCGTCACTCACGCTTCACCACCCTGACACCCTATATTCAGAGGTGGCTTCATCAAACACAGCACCACGGACCATTGAGCCGATGTAGTGTGTCAACTTTATTTCTCTGAGCCCGGAGGTTCTTCTGGCCCTGGCCTTGTGTCCTAGCACATGGCTGAGCCCACAGATGCCACAAAGGTAATTCTGAAAGACCCCTGGTTCTGTGGGCTCATCTCAGGAGAGAGACCCAGAAGGCCTAGTAGCATAAGGGTTACCTGGATAGAAGGGAGGGGACAAAGAGGCTGAGATTCTTCCTTAAATGGGTGGACAGTGTCAACTGAGAAGTAACGTCTAGAGGGACAAGCTAGAGGCCACTGAAAGCTGGCCCTGGGGTAAGAACCACTGGGTAAAATTGGTGATGATGCCTTATGGTCAAAACTGGTTGCTTCATGCATGGACTTACCTCCATACCGCCAGGGCAAAATTTAACAAATTCCTGAATAATGAATATTTAGAAGGAGAGGTAGAATACTTCCAATGCTTTACAAGTACTAACATCAAAATCTTTGCCCACACCTGTAGTCTTTTTCATTGTGTGTGTTTTGGATTTGGGGTACAGGGGTCTCCCTATATATTCTAGTCTGGCCTTGAACTCCCAATATTTCTGTCTCAGCATTCGGAGTTTCAAGGTCATAGGTGTGCATGGACACATACAGCTTTTTTATTGGTTTCTAGGAACTTTTTTTTAAAAAAAGGTTAATTAAAATGTGTGTGTGTGTGTGTGTGTGTGTGTGCGCGCGCGCGCGCGCGCGCGCGTGTGCATGCATACGTGTGCAAAGAGGGCAGAAGGGGGCACTGGATCTTTTGGAGCTCAGATTGTAGGTGGTTGCGGGCCTCCTGTTGTGGATACTGGGGACCAGACTTGATTCTCTGCAACAGTGGTAAGGACTCAATTGCTGGGCCCTCTCTCTAGCACCCAGGTCACCTTCTGGTTATCAGATATTACAGCCCATACCATCTAATTTTGTAAATCCTTTGACACTTTCCTTAGATTGGTGAAATACTTTTGTATCTGTACACATGTGAAAGAACTCTACTAGATGAAATGTTTCCTATATATTAAATTTAGCTCTTTGTGTGGATGGACTTTCTCAATGTGTTATTTTCTCTACTTGGTATGTACAATTTAGGCTCACCTTTGATCAAGCTATATTATATTTAATCACTGCTTTATACATTCACATTGTCAGGCACATAGCTATTCATCATCATGAAAGTCTCTCCTGCCGTCTACAGCTTTTAAATTCGAAGCCACCTCACCCAGGACTTGCATTCTCTCTCATGAGCATCCCTTTGATCAACTGTTACCACGGTTTCAAGTCTTGAGGTCTCTCCTTTTATTACTTCTCTCATGTGCCCCCCCCCCCACTTTTTGGTAATAGAGACTAAACCTAGGACCTTGGATGTGATAGGAAAACATTCTAGCGTGGAGCTGCATTCTGGTCCCTTTAACTCAGAAATGCATGCGTTCACATGTGCAGGCCAGAGGCCAGCCTTGGGTGTTGGTGCACCCTCCTTTTAAAAATTAAAATATATTTTTGATATTTATTTTATGTGTATGACGTTTTGTCTGCTCATATGGTGTGTACCATGTGCATGCCTGTAGAGGTCAGAAGAGGGCGTCAGATCCCCTGGAATTGGAGTTATGGATGGCCGTGAATCACCCTGTTGCTGGGCACCAGATCTGGGTCCTCTGCAAGAGCAGCCAGTGCTCTAACCACTCATCTGTTATAAGAGGAATATAAGAGGAATAAGTGTTCCTCTTATTTCTTTTTGAGGCAGTTTCTTGAATTGACCTGAGCTTTGCTATGTAGACTGGGTTGGCTGGTTAGAGAGTCCCAGGAATCATCTGGTTTCAGTCTCCCCAGAACCCCCATATCTTAAAAAAAACAAAGATCGGTTTTGTGTGAGAGACGGCAGGTGTGAATATGGAGGTGAGAGGACAACTTTCAGTCCCCAATTCTCCAGCTTTATTTAGTATATACACTTCCAGCCCTCTCTTAAACCTCCTCTGTCCCTCAGTGCTGTGCCTCCTTTCTCTCTCTACACTGTGATAACGTCTCTGGTCTGGCTCATCCGATGCTTGTCGTATCTTCCCTTGATGTCCCCTCAGGCTTCTTTAGTGCTGAGCCCCTGGATGCTCACACACACCCTCTTGTCTTCCCGGATAGGTGGCGTCTTTGCTAGGACAAGACAATCGACGCTCAGCTCTTTGCTCTTCCAAGCACATCGATGTCACCTGTGCTCTTCAGCTACTGCTGCAGGTGAGAAGTCCAATGTCAACCCGATTGTCTGTCTTTGATGGGCAATTTGTTTTTTTAGTCCCAAGGGGCTTCCCTGGTCAGAGTTTCCTTTCTTGGAGTTCCAGCATTTTATTAAAAAGTACCAAGAGACATGTTAATTCTCATCACTTAGGACTGGGAGTTGTGGAGCCCTCTTTGAGAACAAGTGGATGAGCATGCATGCACACACCATGGCGCGTGTGTGGGGGGCAGAGGACAACTTTGTGGAGTTAGTTCTCTCCTTCCATGTTTACATGGCTTCTGGGGATTTGAACCTGGGCTGTTAGGATTGTGTGGTAAGCACCCTTACTCTGAGGCCTCTCTCCAGCCCTAGATCTTGTTGAATCCACACGATGATAGTTCTTTTTTTGAGACAGGGTTTCTCTGTGCAGCCCTGACTGTCTTAGAACTCACTTTGTAGACCAGGTTGTCCTCCAACTTAGAGATCCTGTTTACTGATTAGAACTGTAGTTTCAATAGAGTGTGTCTCCACCAAACTCACGTTGGGGCGTGGCCTCCGATGCTGTGGTGTTGAAAGGTGGTGGGACCTTCTTGGGCTCTGTTAGTTCATGAATCTCTATTCTTCTTTTTTTTCTTTTTTGGTTTGTTTTGGTTTGGTTTTTTGAGGAAGGGTTTCTCTGTGTAGTTTTGGTGCCTGTCCTGGATCTCGTTCTGTACACCAGGCTGGCCTCGAACTCAGAGAAGTCTGCCTGGCTCTGCCTCCTGAGTACTGGGATTAAAGGCGTGCGCCAGCACCCGCCTGGCTGAATCTCTATTCTCTTGAGGGGATTAAGGTGGTCCTCCTAGGATGGGTGAGTTCTCACAAGAATGGGAACATCATGCCTCTCTCTTCACCCACTGGCACACGTGCCCTTCCACGTACATCTGCTTCCATTTTCAACATGTCCACCATGATGGCAGGCAGTATTGCTCCCTATGATCTCTTGCCAGAGGCTGACCAGGTAGAGCTGCTTGGTCTTAGATGAAACCATGAGAGAAAACAGATTTTTTTCCTTTATAAATCACCCAGCTTCAGGTATTTTGTTATAACAACAGAAAGCAAATAGGAAGAGCCCACATTCATGATTTGATTTAACACTATTCTCTAGATGGTCTGTTCATTCCAAGGAGAAGAAAATCTTGCCTTTCTTTTCACTGTCTGGACTCTAGAGGCTCATCCTATTTGACTCGAAGAGTTACTGACTCAGGAGAAGCAGGTGTGGTGGGGCTGGGTGGGGACTGGGTTGTCAGGACATTAGAATTTGACCATTTTGCAGGGTTTGCAGTAGCAGTCCTGGTTGAAGATGCCCTGTGAACTGCCTAATGGGTGCATTGCTCGGGGCTGTTTCTGGTTTCCTTCTATTGGTGTAATAAAATATTCTGACTTGGAGACATTTAGGGAGGAAAGGATTTATCTGGCTCACACTTCAGAGTCACAGTTAATCTTTGAGGGAAGTCAAGACTAGAACTCAGGCAGGAGCCTGGAGGCTGCTGCTTGCCAGCTTGGGTACAGGCTCATGCTTGGCTAGCTTTCTTATGCAGCCTAGAACCACCTGTATAGGGGATGGTGCCTCCCACAGTGGACTGGGTCCTCCTACTTCAATTAACAATCAAGACTATTCACCCATGGACATGCCTATGGGCTACTCTGCTCTAAGCAGTTTCTCAACTGAGAGTTTCTTCTCAGATGGACAGGTAAAGCTTACTGTTTCCTGCTTTCTTCTCCAGCTTTTGTGGAAATAGTTGGGATAGGTGGCCACCCAGGGAAGCATGAGACAATTATTTTATTGCAACAGAATCTTGCTATAGTCTGAGTGCCAGCTTTCAACATGCTCCACATACCTGCAGGCTTGGTTGGGACTTGTGCACGTCCCCCCAGCTCAGGACCCACACTTGGTCATGCGACTTGTCATAGGACAGCTTGGCTGGCAGAGGGTCCACACCTATGGACTTGAAAAGAAATAGTGACAAGTTGGTCATTGCTGAGGCTGACATGATGCTCATTTTTGACTTTTGTGTATGTGGTTATCTCACTAGGTGAGTTGGGAAGCTGGCCTCAAACCCTAGTCAATAGTCCTGATTGGAAACTCAGTGTACAAGCCTTCACATGGGCTTTGTCCTCAGAGGGCAAGGGACTCCATGAGTTGTCCCTTTGAAGAACTTAGTTTCTTGCTCGTATCTCACCTAGTGTATCCTAGGTCCAACTTGGACAGAGACTGAGCACAGAGTCTTTAAGACTTCCACTTAAGAACCAGCTCCAGGGGGCTCTTTGTAGTCTTCCTGGAAGTCTTGGGGGCTCTTGGGCCCTCAGCATCCATCTGGGTTCTGGTGAGTGGTCCTTTCCTATGACCATCTGAGGAAGATTTGGAGGCCACCTGTTGCTACCCAGCTCTAACCTTTGTTCTACTCTGTGCAGCCTCTTTGTTGCATGTCAATCAGTCGAAGGTTCTGGACTCAGACTACAGCATCATGCAGGCACACGCCCCCTTCTTAAATTGCAGCACCTGAAAGTTTGCTTCCTGCCACGGCTACAGCTTCTCCCAAGGCCCTGTCACAAGAATGCTCTTTTCTTCTTTTTATAGTTTTTTTTTTTAATTATGTGTATGTTGTGAGTGAGTTCAGGTGCCTGAGGAGGTCAGAAAAGAGTGCTTTGGACCCCCGGAGCTGGAGCTACAGATGGTTGTGAGTCAACTATGTAGGTGGTGGGAACCAAACTCAGCTCCTCTGTAAGATCAACAAGCACTCTTTACTGCTGAGCCATCTCTCCAGCCCCACAGTATAGTTTTTGTTAGAAAACTGCTCCTTGACGCTCATGCCACTGGACTAGGAACCACCAGCTTTTCTCATAACCCCCATGCTCAGTGAAGATGCTGTGACGCAGGTTCTGTCATCTTTTTCTGCCCATTTGGCCACCATGTTTGATGCCTTCAAATCCATATGGATAAGCCCTGTCTTAGGGTTTCCGTTGCTGCGATGAAACACCACGACCAAAACAACTTGGGGAGGAAAGGGTTTATTTGGCTTATGCTTCCCCACCTCTCTTCATCATTGAAGGAAGTCAGGACAGGAACTCAAACAAAGCAGGAGCCTGAAAGCAGGGAATGATGTAGAGACCATGGAGGAGTGCTGCTTACTGGCTTGCTCCTCATGACTTGCTCAGCCTGCTTTCTTATAGAAGCCAGGACGGCCCCACCCACAGTGAACTGGGCCTTACTCCACTGATCACCAATTAAGAAAATGACCTACAGGCAGCTTGGCTGCAGCACCATTTCATGGAGGCATTTTCTCAGTCGAGGCTTCCTCCTCTCAGATGGCTGTAGCTTGTGTCAAGTTGACATAAAACAAGCCAGCACATGTCCCCAAAGCCCCACTTTCTCCACGGTTTCAATGGCTTTTCCTCCACCAACATAACTTATACCTCAGCAACATAATTTCTGAAATTTCACTTTCATCCATATTCTAGCCTTTTTAGTCTGTGGGGAAAAGATGACCATCTCTGTCCACATTGGCCCAAACTTCCCTAAATGTCTTTTGAGCCCCCTATCCACATCTCATTTTCTGCTTCCTTCGCTGTGGTGAGGTGTCCCAGACCTCCTCGAAAGTTCATCTGTCACTTCATGGCCCTCCTCTTAACTTTGCAGGACTTCATGTGTTCACCACTCCCTTTTAGAAATACTCCACCGACCTCCCTGGCTTCTCCACTTCCTCCTGATGAAGAGTTAGTATGTCCCAGATCGACCTCCCCGTAATGTGCAGAACTGAACTTGTGATTTTGCTCCCTGCTGAAATGTCTTCCTTCCCCACTGTCACGACTCACTTCACTTCCTTGTTCTAATTGATAGCACCCACCCAAGTCCCAAGGAGAATCTCTAATTACTTTTCTAGCCTTGACCGACCCTCGAGGTTGATGTAACCTCCTGTGAGCCTGGCATGTCTCCCCGCCTCCTGGCCCCTGCTTTCATTTACTCTGGTGGTCAGTGTTCACTCTCATCTGGACTGGTTTTTGAATCACCCAGGAGACACACACAGCTCAAGCTATGCTTGTGAGCATGTTCCTGGAGAGGTTTAATGTGGTGATATATTATTTGTAATCTAGGAAATAAAGCTTGCCTGAAGATCAGAGGACAGAGTTAGCCATAGAGGTCAGGCAGTGGTGGCACACACCTTTAATCCTATTGCTCAGGAGGCAGAGATCCGTTTGGATTTCTGTGAGTTCAAGGCCACACTGGGCTATATGAGATTAATCCAGTCTAAAAGAGAAACAGAGCCAGGCAGTGGTGGCACACACCTTTAAATCCAGCACTTGGGATCACACACCTTTAATCCCAGCTCTAGGAAGGTTGAAACAGGAAGTGATATGGCTGGACAGAGAAAGGAATCTGAGGCAGGAGGAGACAGGAACTCGGCCTCTTTCAGGGTTTTTTTCAGGCTGAGGAGTTGGTGAGGAGGTGGCTGTGGCTTGCTCTGCTTCTCTGATCTTTCAGCTTTCATCCTGATATCAGGGTCAGGGGCTTTTATTAAGACCAAGTAGGATTCATGCAACAGTTTAACTAAGGAGAGGAGAATGTGGGCTGTACCCCCCACAGACTGGGCCCAAGGCTCACTGAAGAGGGAAACAGGAAAAGGCATTCTGAACACCAGCCTTCATCTCTCCTTCCTGACTGTGCACTCAAGATGAGCAGCTCCTTCCCACTGGAGATGCTTGCTGCTGTGACGGACCAGACCCTCAGACCTCGAGCCCAAACAGACCCTCTCCCTTCAGTTGCTTCTTGTCAGGCGTCTGCTCACAGCAACGAGACACGAGACTAATACATTTACCAAAGGCTTTGGCACCCAGCACTGCCATGATCCTACTGGGAGCTTTCTGTTCCACGGTAACGCTACCATCTGAGGACTTGAACGGCTGAGCCATCTCTCCAGCCCTTGATCTTTCTCTTTCAAGACCCTCTCTCGCATGCATCCCATTCATCTGCTCTCCTCACTGCAAAATTTCCTTGGTGTTTAGACAGTAGCCATTGTCTTCCCTTTCTACTTAGCCCCGTCCTGTGAGATTTCATGCTCCTGCTCAGTACTGTGAAAGAGGGAGCCGAAGAACTGAGCCGAAAGTGGATTACACTCAGAATTGGATTTTCCACGGTCTCACTGCGCTCAGCAGCTGAAGTGAGGCAGGAGCAAGAACCGGAGTTAAAAGCCCCGGGATTAGGGGATGGACTGAGCAGACTTGGCCCTCGAGAAATTTGAAAATGATCAAGTCACTACTCTTTCTGCTGGGCAGATGAAAGGGTGAATCCTTTCTGGTGGATGACAGCTATTTAAAGACTTTACAATTAAAAAATACGTAGAATGTTTGGATTAAAAAAAATCACTAGGCATTTCAAGAGGCAGATATCTTTTTACTTTTCAAAATCATAATATGAAGGGCCACAAGAGGACAATTAAGGATTTATATGAAGTAAGGTGGTGGTGGCACAAGACTTTAATCCCAGCACTCTACAGGCAGGCTGATCTCTGTGAGTTTGAGGCCAGCCTGGTCTACAAAGCAAGTTCTAGGACAGCCAGAGCTTACACAGAGAAACCTTGTCTCAAAAAGCCAAAAACAACAAAAAAGAATTTATATGAATCTGGCAATTAAATAGCAAATTTGAAGGTAAAAAGAATAATCTGATATAATAAATAGGCAAATCCATATTAGATGAAGGAGAAGGTAGGATTAGCAAAATACAAGACATATTGTAGGACATACAAAACAAGAGAAGACATGTGGGATACGATGGAAAGACATTTTTTTTTTCTTTTTCTTGAGACAGGGTTTCTCTGTGTAGCTTTGCACCTTTCCTGGGACTCACTTTAGAGACCAGGCTGGCCTTGAATTCATAGAGATCCACCTGCCTCTGCCTCCTGAGTGCTGGGATTAAAGGCGTGCACCACCACGGCCTGGCTAAGACAAACCATTTTAAAGATGGGGGTCCTGAGGAAGAAAGTGAACCCGAGCCAGCAGAATAAAGACATAATTGCTGAGAATTTTCCCATCTGTTAGATGTTCAGTCCACAAACCCAGGAGCCTCTCGAAGCCTTGAATCAGAATAAATACAAAGATGGTCACCACATGAGAAGCATGGCAGTTAAAGCGCTGGCCAAAGAGGAGCTCAGAGGCGAGAGGGAAGATACAGTTGGTCCAGCAGCAAAGGAAGACATCTGGAGGGTGTCTTAAAATGCTGAAGGGAGGTAACTGTCATCTAGCATTATGCAGAAATAGACAATATTTTCACTTCAAACAAAACTGACCTCCGTTGCCAGCAAAAGAAGTAAGAAAAATGACCTCATTCCAGCCCTTTGGAGGCTGAGGCAGGAGGACCTGTGAGTTTAAGGCTAGCCTGGCCTATGGAGTGAGATGTTGTCAGAACAACTACCACCTACCTCAGAAAGGAAGTGGACTAGAAAGTAAATATATGGGTAAATATCAGTTATTGCCTGGATATATGTTTGTATGTGTATTTATATACAGTAGTACATAATACAAAAGGCAGGAAGAAGGTTAAAGGAGTTAGCATTTTAATGTTGAGGAAATGAAATGTGATGGCTAGTGTTAAAATTTATTGTTATGGAATATTTGTACACTGGGAAGAGGTATTGCTGTGCCTGATGTACTAAAAAGCTGAACAGCCAGCTGGGTGATGGTGGCGCATGTCTTTAATCCCAGCACTCGGGAGGTAGAGCCAGGCGGATCTCTGTGAGTTCGAGGCCAGCCTGGGCTACACAGAGTGAGTTCCAGGAAAGGTGCAAAGCTACACAGAGAAACCCTGTCTTGAAAAACCAAGAAAAAAAAGAAAAGAAAAGAAAAGCTTAACAGCCAATAGCTAGGCAGGAGAGAGAGGTGGGACTTCCAGGCAGAGAGAAGAGGATGAATGAGGCCCACAGGAGATGCCATGGAGACATGGAACAAGTCGGACACACAGAATGGGAGAGAAGTAAAAGACACATTGTAGACTTAAAATATGGGTTAATTTAAATTGTAAGACCTAGTGGGACAAGCTCAAGGTAAGGCCGAGCTTTCATAATTAGTAAGTTGCTGTGGGATGTTCTGTATGTTAAATGTATTGCTCTGATTGGTTAATAAATAAAACACTGATTGGCCAGTAGCCAGGCAGTAAGTATAGGTGGGACAAGGAGAGAGGAGAATTCTGGAAAGTGGAAGGCTGAGGCAGAGAGACCCTGACAGCCGCCGTCATGACAAGCGAGATGTAAGGTACCGGTGAGCCACGTGGCAACTTATAGACTAATAAAAATGGGTTAATTTAAGATATAAGAACAGTTAGCAAGAAGCTTGCTACGGCCATACAGTTTGTATGCAATATAAGTCTCTGTGTGTTTATTCGGTTGGGTCTGAGCAGCTGTGGGACTGGCGGGTGAGAGAGATTTGTCCTGACTGTGGGCCAGGCAGGACTGGAGAAAACTCTAGCTACAGTAAGTGTCTGTGTCATTATTTGGGAGCGGAAAGACCTACTGCCTTTATATTTGACATAAATTAGAATCATCTGGGAAATGGGCAGTTGGACATATCTTGGTTATGTTATTTGAGGTGGGAGGTCTCTCCTCTGTAGTAGCACCATTCCCTAGGCCAGGGATTAAGAGTAGAGAAAGTGAGCTAAGAACTAGCCTGCATTTACTAATTCACTGGTTTTTGAGACAGGGTTTCACTGTGTAGTCCTGCCTGTCCTGGAACTTGCCCTATAGACCAGGCTGGCCTCAAACTCACAGAGATCCACCTACCTCTGCCTCCCAAGTGCTAGGATTAAAGGCATGCACCACCACTGCCCAGCTACTATTTCACTGTTTTCTGTTCTTTTTAAAAAAAATTATTTTTATTTTATGTGCATAGGTGTTTTGCCCACATGTGTATCTGTGTGAAGGTGTCAGAACTCCTGGAGCTTGAGTTAAAGACAGTGAGTCCTAGGAATTGAACCCAGGTCCTCTGGAAGAGCAGCCAGTGCTCTTAACTGCTGAGCCATCTCTCCAGCCCTGTACAACTATCAACGTACTGTGACTATTGCGTTCAGCTTCCTACTTGATTCCTTGCAATAATGGATTGTGATCAGAACCACGCTCTTTCTCCTTCAAGTGCTTTTGTCAGAGTACATTAGCACAGCAGCAAGGAAGGAAGCCCAGACATGAAGTAACCATGTGATAGTATCAGTGTAAGGATGTGTGTTGCAGTCTCTATGATACTAATAACATCTTCAATAAACAGAGGGAAAAAAAGAACAAAAATCTTTGGCAAAGCCAAAAGCAAGCAACATAAACAGGCTAAATAAAAGGTAAGATGATAGAAGCATTCAACTGTACAAATTATATTAAATATAAATGGATCAAATATTTTAAGTAAAGAAACTAAGATAGTTAAAGTAGAAAAAACTTAAATGTTATGAAAGAACATTTTAAATATAAGGCATAGAGAGGTTGGAAAAATTGTAGCATGAGAACGCTAATTAAAATATGATTTAGCTATACTAACATTATTAAAAAAAAACCCAGATTCACAGCATTACCAGAGATAAAAGGGATATTTTGTGAGGAAAAAAATCTTTCCCCTAGGAAGAGACTATAATCTTAAAGCAAAAATGGATAGAACTTGTGGAAGGAGATAACTCTATAGCCACAGTGGATTTTAAAAACATACCTCAGCAGTTGATAGACCAGACAAAATGAGTCACCTAAGGAAGGAGAGCTGAGCAGCACAATGAATCAACTTGACATAACCGACTCACATTGAACAGCTCATCTGACACTAGAATGCATGTTATTGTGAAATAAACATGAAACATTTATTAAAGTTGATCATGAGCTCTCTTTTAAAATAAGCTTTAGTAGAGTTCAAAAGGTAAAAATTACTCAGTGTGTTCTCTGACCGTGGGAATCAAACTGAAAACCTGTTTCATATACCAGGAAAAACCACAGCTCTGGCTATATCAAATGTTCTTTGCATGTGCTATTTCACAGGGACCGGACAGAGACAACTCTGCTGGTTGGTTAAATTTCTAGTCACAGTCCTTCAGTTGGTAATCACTATTGCCCAGCATTCCCTGCTGCACATGTGCCTGGTCAATGCAATCCCACTCTTAGTTTTCACCTTTCTCCTCAAACCTCCAGCCCTAGTGATAATCTTCCTTCTGTTTCACTGAAATAAAAAAATCCAAAAGAAAGTAATCTACCAACTACACAGAGAAACCCTGTCTCAAAAAAAACCAAAAACCAAAAAACAACAAAAAAAGAAAAATCAATCTACCTACTGCCCCCTGAATTGCCTAGTGGTGCCTAGTGGAGGAATATTCTCTTGGCTAAGACTGGTGTTCCCATCTGTGTGCACTGGAGTCCACTACAATTGTCTACTATGATGACACATGGGAGGAGCTTGGAAACAGTTATTCCTGTTAGCATGCACACTCTGGGGTAACATTGGCACTCCTCCCTCATTTTTATACTGAGTTTTGCATGGCAATCCCTCTATACAGTTGCCTGTGTCCCTCTACCACACCTCCTCCCCCATTGTTCTGCCTTGAGCCCCCTCCCCAGGGTTGTCTTGACTGTTGTCATCCTAGCTGGTCTAACTCAGGTGGTCTATGATGTGGGAAGAGGAAATCCGATGGCCGGTTCTCAGATCTCCTAACATCCAACACAATACTGCCATCAGAGGCCACTAATGCCTTCTGGAGACCCTCTCTGCCTGTCAAGTACCACCTGCCCCAGGCTTTCTTCCTTTCAGGCTATTTCTTAGATGTCTGTCTCTCTGCTTCTTCATCTTAAAGTGTAGGAAAGCCTCGGGCCTCCATCCTTGACCTCTTCTCTGTATACACTGGGTGATCTCAGCCCGTTTTCTAGATTTAATCAGGCCATGGGATGATGATACTCAGATTGACAGCTGCAGCCTCCATCTTTCCTTTGACCTGTTTGCTTGAGATAGCTCCTTAAATATCTGACACCATTTCATATCTAATCTCCCATCTGTGGTCAAACTTTCCTTTGCCTTTCCCTTACATGAATACTTGTGTTTGCAATCTTCCAGGATCTCCTGACGTGAGAAATCCTTAGCCATGTCTATACTGTCCCTTGTGCTATATAAGGCAACGTTCAGTTTCCTGGGATGGAATGTCTTGGGGGCCATTATTTACCTATCAAATATTGTAAATGATATAACCATTCTATGCCCAAGCTAAGAAAGGAACCACATAATGCCCTTTTGGTCTCCTGTCGAACTTTACATTTAACCTGGCAGGAAGAATTTTAGGAGGGTAGGAGGGTTGGCGAGATGGCTCAGTGGCTAAGAGTGCTTGCTACTTCTCCAGAAGACTGAAGCTAGGTTCCTAGTACTGAAGCGGCTCATAACTGCCCACAACTCCAGCTGAAGGGATCTGATGCTCACGTGCACATACACGTAACTAAAAATAACAAAATGAATCTGCTAATTTCTCATTACGGCCCTCTGATGCCACCACCATCTTGTGTCTGGAACAAGTTCCACCCATTCCTGCTCTGTCTTCTTGCTGTTCTTAAGGCAGCATCTGTATGGATGCTCAGAAACCTTTTGGTGGCTTTCTCTTCTGCCTTGATCTTATTCTATAGCCCACTTGCCCCCCAGGACCCTCAAGGGGCTGGCTTCTGTCTACTCCTAAACTCACTGTCTCCACTCTTCCCTCATCACTGCATGCTGCTCCCACAGTCTCTGTCTTGGGTGGCATTCAGATCCCAGCTTCTGTTCAGCTCCAGAGTGAGGACCTGTTTGAGTAGTCTTAGAGCTCTATGGTCACACTAACCCTGCTTTCCACAGCTCTTGCAGTGCCTGGAAGTCTGCTTTGCACTCTGCCTCCCTGACTGAACTCTCGTGCCCGGGACTACAGTGCCAGCATTCATCCTCAATCGTGCTGGGTATGCAGGAATGTGTACTTGATAGACTGCTACACAGGGGCCTCTCCCCAGGCTAGGCCCCTCTCACAGGAACTGGGGAGTGTGCACACAGCAGGTGTTGCCCCAGGATTTCAAGTCTTCCCCACTTCCTCCAAGAGCTGTTACCTGTAAGACTTTCTGGGCTTGAACATCGAGCACAAGGACTCTGTTCAGTGCTGGCTGGGCCACGTAGATGTACCGGTTCCTGACATTGACTGCAGATGCCCACTGGCAAGGCTGGCCGGCATCTCCTTCCCCATGAGGACAGATTTCTTCCTGTAAGGAGACAGACAGCCATGTATCTGTTCTTCCACCCTCTCCAACACCCCTGGGGTCCCTATCCCTTAACCCTCTTGGATCCCCTTTTTCTCTCTTAAACTCCTTGGGATTCGTACGTAGAACATGGCATGTCAGTAACTTCTCACTGGACCCTCATCTTCCTCACCAAGGTCAACACTATGTCACCATGTGCTCAATTTGCAGATCTTTCTGTGTGGAACAGCCCAGGGCCCATTCCTGGATTTCTTCTCTGAAGTCTGTTCCCTTGTTAATCTCCTTGAAACCTACAGCTTTAGGTACTGCCTGTACACTTACCACTCCCGTGTGTGTGTGTGTGTGTGTGTGTGTGTGTGTGTGTGTGTGCATGTGTGTGCATGCGTGCTTATATATGTACACATTTGCACAAGGCCTGGGGAGGCCATGCCATTCCCCGAGTGCCGCCCACCTCATTTTTCCATTACTCTTTTTGAGATAGGGTTTCTCAGTGTCTTAGAGTTCGCCAAGTAGGTTAGGCTAGCTAGCCAATGAATCCTACAATCTGCTTGCCTCTGTTTCCCCAGGCTGTGATTATAAACGTGTGCTTTAAAAAAAGAGATTTGCTTGCATATTTGTATGTATTCCACGTGTGTGCCTGATGCCTCTGGAGGCCGCTAGAGGGCATCAGACCTCCTGGAACTGGAGTTTCAGAAGGCTGTGAACCACCATGTGAGTGCTGGGTCCCCTGCAAGAGCAACAAGTGCTCTTAACCACTGAGCCATTTCTCCATCCGCGTCCCCCTTAATGTGGGTTCAAGGGTCTCTAACTCAGGTTCTCATGCTTGCAAGCAAAGCGCTTTACCACGTTCCTGTCTTTATTTAAGCCTCTTCTGTGAACTCCATTCTTTCATGCTGCCTCGGGCTCTACTGTGGTGACTAATGTGCTTCTCTAACTTGTATGTCTAAAATCAACCTTTCATTCTTTTTCTCCAGTCTTGCTCATTCTACACAAAACTAGGAGCTCCTTCCTTCCTTCCTTCCTTCCTTCCTTCCTTCCTTCCTTCCTTCCTTCCTTCCTTCCTTCCTTCCTTCCTTCCTGTCCTCTTTATTTTATATTTTTATTTATTTTTGGTTTTTCAAGACAGGGTTTCTCTGTGTAGCTTTGCGCCTTTCCTGGAACTTGCTTTGGAGACCAGGCTGGCCTCAAACTCACAGAGATCCACCTGGCTCTGCCTCCCGAGTGCTGGGATTAAAGGCGTGTGCCACCACCGCCCGGCTATTTTATATTTTCAAAGCTGGGAACATTGTTTTCCCTGTCTGTGATCCCTGTTCTCTTGGTTTGCTGTCACCCTGTCCTAACTCTGCTCCTGTTCACTGGTTTCCCTTAGTCTGCCTGTCCTGAGTTGTTGATGGGTCAGGACTCTCTGTTGGATGTCCTTCTCATACCAATGGCACATGCCCTTGTATATTCCTCAGCTGTTGATAACACTCACAGCAGATGGTGCCCAGACCTGCATCTTCAGCTGAGAAACATCCCGTCCCTCTGGTCCCTGTTGGGTCCTTTCGCAGGTACCCCCAACTTCAGGGTGTGTCAAGTGCCCTGCCTCCCACACCTGACCCCTCTCTCACGAGTGTCTCCCCTACTTGGCATCACAGGACACTACAAAGTCCTGGAGAACAGGACTGTGACCTGATGTCTAACAGAGTTGGGGGGGGGCTACAGCTCAGGGACAGGTAGGCTGAGGGAACCACAGAGAACAGAGTAACACAGGAGAATGGGAGTGGGGGTGGCGTGGGGGAGGAGGGCTGCCTTGGATCTACCTCCATCCTTGTCACCTGCCACTTGATATTGGCTTCCTGTTTCATTGGCAGCACCTCTGGAACTCAGCGTTCATTCACGTGTGTCCATGCCAAAGGTCACTGCAAGAATACCTGTCTAGATGCTGTCTGTTCACCTTGCTGTCTCTAGTATTTGACCATGAACTTCTAGAGGCCAGGAACCCAGTGTGCACTGGCCCTCACAGCTGCTGGAGACAGAGGGAGAGCTGAAGTGCCCTGCCTCATGCTCCTCCTCCCTTAGCCTGGACTCACACCCACACCTAATGACCAGAGCTGAAGAAACCCGGTCTCACATGCATGCAGGCACAGGTGGAGCATGACCTCTGGATTTTGACTGGGCGTGATATGGAAGCTGCTTCAGTCACAGAAACTCACATAACTCATGAAGATCTTCTCCGTGGGCTTCAGGCGTCTTTGGACCTCACAATCCACAGGGTGGATGCCAACGATGCCATCGTCAGAGAAGACATAGAACATGTTTCCCACGCTGAGGCCTGGGAGGAATGAACACTATGTGGTCATGAACTTCTAGCCACTGATAGGGCCACACAAGGCACGGAAGAGGGTATAACACACTTTCCTGATGGGGAGACAGCCCATCCACAATAGTACTTGATGCAGTTGGGACTGTGGAAGTGTCCTCAAGGCTGGGAACCAATGTATCCTATCACAACTCTACAGTACCCCCTTGCTGCTGGGCGTCTGGAACCTAGTCCTCCAAAGATGCCCAGTCTGGGGAGCACCTGACAGAAATCTAGAGCTAGTCCTGGGTGTCCCTTGGAGAGTCTATGAGGCTGGCTATGTGCACGTGCCTCAGCGCCATCCTCAGCATCTCTGTCTGAGGCATCATGCCAAAACACCTCTGTCATGAATGGCCCACCTGGCAAACCTTGGGCTGAAACCCTCCCTGGGCTGCTTTGAAAGTCAGTCACCAGAAGAGTCAGCATAAGATTGACAGCTTAATGTAGCCCGCATGGGGTTTGTAGACACAGATAGCTACATTTCTGCCTGAGTGCAGTGCTCTCTCAGTGGGTGGGAATGTGAGAGTCAATAGTCATTCAACACAAAATCAACCTCACAGGAGACCCAGTCTCCTGATCCGCCCCCCAGAAGGTTCTGTTGAAATCTAGTTTCTGCTATGGGACTTCAAAGAGCGCCTAGCTTCCTTTGCCGCTGTCTGGTCTCATCTTTCTATTAAGATTTGAGAGTGCCCTTCCTCTTGGCTTCTGTATCCCCTCCCCCCCCCTGCCCCCACCCCAGGACTTGAGTATCAGCAGAGAAGGGCATAGCATTTAGTCACTGAGGTGAGATGGGGTTTGGTCGATGCTTCATCATTTAATCTGAATGCAGCACCTAGCAGCCCTGGACCAGCCCTAAGGTGACTTCAGTGTGCCTTTGGTCCTTACAGTGCGCAGCGACCCCGGCAGACTTGTGTTCTCTTACAAGTCTCCGCTGTGAGTCCCTCTGCAGCGACCTCTGCCTAGCAGTGTACCACTGTTTAAAAGACACGAAGCTCAAGCTGAGTGCACACGGCAGCCAGAGAGTGAGTGCACCAAGGGTCACAGCCATCAACACTGCAGTTGGCCCCCATCCCTCACATGGACTGTGTTAGGCTCAGTGCCCAATGCTCAGGAGACTGAGCTGGGTCTGTGCATGAGTGTGCCACATGAGTTTGCCTAGGAGCCCGTGACTCGGGTACATAGGCTCTGAAAGGTTGGTGGGTCAGGGAAAAGTGGCCCACGGTGGAACCAAGAACACCTGTGATTACAGGCATAACACAGGACAGTCACACTTAGTACCTTCTTCCCGCCACAAGATGTTTGCTACTGTAGCAGCCGAGAATCAGGAGAGCCGAGACATGATAGCCGGAAGAGAAAAAAAAAAGACAATGTCAAACCTTTGCTGCTGTGATTCTTTGGTTCACTCCATTGAGGGACATTCCAGTACCCACTCAGCATTGGGAGAATCTGCATCTCTCGTTGGCCCAGCAACAATATCAGTCCACGACGCTGGACCCAGGAGGACACTTCTGGGTCTCAGGATGCTTTTGCTTTCTAAATGAATCTTTAAAACTGGGTTCTGGGATCCCAGAAGCTAATCCCTATTCCCTGAGTCTATGGACAATAACAAATGTGTAGCATCTCTCCCTGATTTGCAAGGCACTTCCAGGAAAGTCATTTTCAGTTAGGACTCTCCAAGGAAGAACATTCTTTCAACGATGAAGGCTTAGTTTGGAGTCTGAGGGAGAGGAACTGAACGCCATCCATGCTGCAAAATCTGCTTGCAGAACCACGGGAGGCGGTGGCTACGAGGGAGGGTGGGTGAGGTGGGTGAGGATTTCTGGAGGAGAGGCCACACTGTCCCTAGTTGTGTATGAATCCAGTAGCACCCCCATACCAGACAGTCCTGAACCCCATTCCTGCCTGTTTCCTCCTATGCATGCATACCTATGATAGAGTTCAATGTATAAATCAAGCAGTACAAAATTAACCATTAATACAATAGAATAGTTACAACACACTGTGGTGAAAAAGTTACTAAAGGGGCTGGAGAAGTGGCCTATTGGTTAAGAGCTTATGTTGCTCCTCCAGAGGACCAGAGTTCAGTTCCCAGCATCCCACATCAGGCAGCTTATAACCACCTGTAACTCCAGCTTCAAGGGATCTCACCCCCTTTTCTGGCCTCTGTGGGAACCTGCACACAAAAGTACACATCAAAAAATAACTTAAGGGGTTCATTTCTGGAATTTCAGATCAAAGGAAGTAGAACCTTAGATGAGAGGGGACCACCGCCTGGCTTGAGAGCTTCCAGGCCACTAGGACAGAACACCTGGGGGCACAAAGGCGTTTGGAACCAAGTTTCCAGTCATCACATAGGAGGCAGGAGCAGAGCTGGGGTATTTGGGCTTCCTTCTGGTCCTGGGCTCTGTGTCCTGACCAGAGACTTCAATCGTCTACATTTCCAGAGCTGTCTAGGTTGCCTGAGAAGGTCACCATCTGGACCTAGCTTTGTGGACAGAGGAAATAGATTTATCCCAGCCTCCAGAGGCTCCCAGTTGGTGACTGTGGCCCTGGAGAGTTAATGTATTCCCTTGTCCCCCTAATACTCCCAAACAGCTCAGTGAGGATCTCAGAGCCAATAGTGGACTCACAGGTCTTCCTAGCCGAGTCCTCAATGAAAAGGGAGGAGATATCTTCATCCACGCCCACTTCGTTCTTGGCAATGCAGGTATAGGCCCCTGTGTCTTCATAGCGAACGCTGCCAATGTGGAGTTCACTGCCATTGGCTGTAGAAAGGACAGTGGCTCAGGGTGGCACTCTCAGGGGAACACCCTTTCACGTGCCCTCCCCACCACCTTCTCAGGACCTCTGAAGAGTGTTGAGCTAAAAACACAGTCCTTGAGTGTGGCTGGGGGCAGCCATCGTTCATGGGACTCTGCCCAGGACAGGCTGGCACTGCTGAAATACAGAGGGTGCCCCGGAATCTGGCCAACAAATAGCCTCTCAGATGCCCATGAGCCCTGTGTGCCAGTCATCACAGGCTCAACCACAATTTTACCTCTCATTCCCTCCCTGGGATTCTTGTGCCATTCTTACCCAAGAGGGAGAGTTGTTTGGACATCTGGGCTGAGACATCCATTCCATTTTTCAGCCAAATGATTCTGGGCATGGGAATGCCCTCAGCATGGCATCGCAGGCTGGCTGCCACTCCAGGCTCTTGTGCCTGTGTCTCTGGATAAACACGGATGACTGGTGGCACTGTGGGTGAGAACAGCGTTGGTAAGAGCAAACCCACACCCGGCCTTGGGCTGTAGCCAAACCCTGAGAACCCCGCTCCAGAGGGTGAAGCCAAGAGGTGATGCTGGAGGCCTCTGAACCAGCTCTCAATGATGTCTTCAGCAACCCAAGTGTCGAGGGAAAAGGCTGTAAAATGGATCGCAAGCTATAAACACATCCAGTGTGGGACTCGGTAATTCATGGCTTCCATTCTTGTTCTAAATATGATCAGAAAGACGTCCAGATATTTAATGCTGTTCTGCTGCTGCATGTAAAGAGCAACAGCCACTGGAATTTATCTCTGAATGAATGAAATTCAGATGTATGATTCCTGTTATCGGAAAGCCATTGGATGGGGCCTTAATTTCTTGCAGGAAATGCTTCACGAAGCACTTAGGGGCACTGACTGGCAGGGCTGCTAATTACATCATGACTGTGGGGAAGCCCATCGATTTTCCAGTGGGTCATTTTTATTTCTTCACTCTCTAAGCCCTGGGACCAGCATGAAAGAAGGATGTGTCCTCCTTGGTTGGGCAGTGACTCAGCTCTGGCCCGTGGTAGTTAAGTTTCAGCTTGGGCATGGAACCTGACCCATGGGCAGGCTGTAGGCAAAGGCTCTTGGAGAAGTGGAGATCGTTGGGGGAGAGAGTCCCCCTCCTGGAAATAAAAGCATTATCATTTCCCATATTCACAAGGGCTCATGTTTATGAATACGTTTTGCTCTACATGCTTTAAAACCAGGATTTGAGAGTTTATGTAAACAGACCTGAGTATTAAATCACACACCCTTCGGAAAGTGGGGATGGATTCCTCTTGAAGTGGATAACTGTGTTTTCTTATCACTATCTGCAAGCTTCTTTGTCCATTACAAGGAGGAATCATGGTATTTGAGATGAGAAAATTTTCTCTGGATGAACAGAGAGCACTTGATACGTACATGGGAGGAGCCGATGACACCAACAATGGAGTCTGAGGAAGACAGCATTCTGGTGATCCACGCTCGGTGGACAGAGGACAGAAGAGAAACTCTAGGCTCATTAGGAGCAATGGACCTGCCATTGCTATAGGAGACACTTCAGGGGTCTGTTTAGCATCTACCAACTCAGAGTTTCCAAGATTGCCCTGGCTGACCTCTGGGGTGAAGTTTGGAGGGGGGCAGAATCCAAACTAAGCTCAGGGAGCCCCAAGAGCACGATGTCTGTGCATCTCTCTCCCTGGTTCTCTCTGTCAAGGTTCTAGGGGGAGAGTCCTAGGCTATAGAAGAGTGGCCTTGTCCCAGATCAAGCCATCAAGGAGGTAAGGGGGGCCAGTTGAGATGTGGGTGAGGATTGTTTTTTAAGAACACAGGTGTTCTTTGACACCCTTGGTTCATATAGGAAAGGACGAGCTTTCCTCACACCTTCATTGGTCAGAGAAAGGGATGGGGTCCAAGTAGAGTGCAGACTTGAGTAAGGAGGCTACAACCTTAGAGCACAGAGGTGGAGCTTGGCGGCTCAGAGCACTGAGGCTGATGGGTGAATTGAGAAGGCTCTAGAAAAACCAAGGTTCTAGTTGAGGACTGTCCAGGATCTGAACATTAGTGAGCTCGGGTTCTTGCAAGACCTCCATCTATGCATAGCAGACTGCCTGGAAACCACAAAGCGAACCTAGGGAGAGCAGGAGTGAAATGGAGGACTCAACTCAAAAGCCAAGAGAGACCCATGAGTAGGTCTTTGAGCCTGTTTGTAAGAAGAGCAAGTTTGGTCAATGAAAAACTAGAGAAAGATTACAAAATGATGTTTTTTTTCCTACAACGAAGAATAAGTCCATACAAAGAAGGAGCAGCACCACTCCTTTTAGGAAAAAGAAAAAGGAGAAAGTAAAGGCAGCAACATTAACTTGGAAGCTCACTGGTGTGGTCAAGGAAGACAAGGCACGGAGGATGTCCATAGTAAAGGATGATGTCATGTTTCCAACCCCTGTGACCAAATACTCAGCAGAAAGAACTTAGGGGACCTCAGCTCATCTTGGTGGGAAGGTACGGTGGTGGGAGAGGTTCTCTCTCTGGTGCAGCTGAGGCTCTTCATGTTGTGACCAACCAGAACACAGAGAAGGTGGTCAGTCGAAGTGGAGTATCCACTTCAAAGCCTTGCACAGTGGGACCTATTTCTACTAGCCAAGACCCATCTTCCAAGGACTCTCCAGCCTTCAAAATAACACCACAAACTGAGGACCAAATGTCCAAGACACCCGTGGGGGCATTTCAAAATGAAAAAGATTTAAATTTGTATTTATTTAAATGTATGTGTCTGTTTGTCTGTATGTGCATGTAATACCCTCAGATGCCAGAAGAAAGCGTCAGGTCACTGGGAACTGGAATTACAGGAGGTTGTGATCCACCTGCTGTGGGTTCTGGAACCTTGGTCCTTACGTAAGTCCTCTTAACCACTGAGCCATCTCTTCAGTCTCTTAGAGACATTTAAGATTGTACCATATAGTAGAGAACAATGGTTGCTTTAGGTAGTTGTATTCTAGGAGCCAAAGCAAAAAAGATGATAATGATCACATGACTACAATAGAGAGCTAGTACCAAAACACACAAAACGAATAGTTTACCTAGAGAGCAGGCACAGACCAGACAAACAGACTGGACCCAAGTGATGAAAACTATAAAATCTTACTGACAGCATAAGAAAGTAACAATTCAAAGGAGGTCATTGATTAGGAAGATCTCCCATTGCCACAAACAGCTGACAAATTAACCCACAGACTTAATCTAATTTCAATTAAAACCAGTCCACTGGGGCTTGACAAAAAATAATTCTGAGTTTATCTAGAAAGGGAAAAAAAATTCAATGCATGGCTGAGGAACCTGAGAAATGACATTGTTCCTTGTCATTTTGCTAAACCAAGATGTCACAGAGCGTTACAATACTGCGTGGGGGACCGAGGGGCTCCTCCTCTTTGAACCTAGCACCTGACTGAAGACCTTGATTGATGTTTACAAGCCTCTGTCAATTCCATATCGGGCAGTGTCAGGCATGATGCACGCAGTGGCAAGAGCCTCGGTCCCTTGCTGCGTGGTGGAGCTTTCTGTGTGGGAAAGATGACTAAACCAGTTGCCAATTTGAGGGTCACTCCCAGGGGAGCCTTGGGGAGCGGATCCTAGCAGCTTCATTCTTCCCTCCTCCTACAGGAGAGAAGACTCGACCTCCAGATGTCTGTGGCGCCTGCTGCATATTGTTGCAGAATTGGTCCAGGAAACTGGAGACCTGAGCAATAGGACTGGTCCCCTCAGTGGCCGGTACCAGCTCTGGAGACTGGCCTTGGCCTCTGCTCTGCTCTCCGGCAGGAATGTGTGTATAGACTGAAGTTTTCACACTTGAGCAGGTATCATCTATCGGAACACAGGTAATGCACGTCCCCTTCCCTCCTCTGCCCCTCCCCCCACCCATGCCTGTGTGCACTGCTCTGAGATGGGAGCTTTTCCAGCCAATTTGGGACTAAATTTAAACCAAAATATGTGCCAGTGTTCTAGAACAAAAGGACGCCTGACTGAAAGTCAAGGGTGCAGGATGACTCACCCAACAAAAATACATGCCTGAATTCAAGGCACTAAGTTCTTCATAGGTGTGTGTGTGGGTGGGTGGAGGGGAGGTGAATGGGACTCTACAGATGCATACACATGTCTTCTGACAGTCTGGAGGTCTCCTTGAGGGGATCCTGAGAAGGACTGAAGAGGACTTGTTGCCCCCACATCTAATGCCCCTTTCTTGCCAGCCTGCCTCAAACCTCTGAGCGGTATTCACCAGGCGCTTTTGTCCTTTGTCCCCTACAATGACATCATGTCACGTTGTCCTGCTGGGCCCACCCTCTTACATTTTCCCTCTGCCATCTGGAACTCATACTCTCGTCTACAAAGTCTCTAGTGATGTTCCTTTACCTGTTTGTCCCTCTCCCCTGGAGACCTGGCTTTCTCCTGAGGACATCGCCTCTCTTGCAGCTTCCTGGGGCAACTCCTACTCAGCACCCCCACCCCCCCACTTAATTCGGTGCATGTGTGATAGAACCTAGGGCTCACACATGCTAAGCAAGTGCTCTACCACTGCCCTACATCCTTAGCTCTTTTTTTGGAGGTGGGGAATAGAGTCTCACTGTTACCCAGCTTGACTGCACTTTGTAGCCCAGGCAGGTCTTTAATATTTGATCCTCCTGCCTCTGTTTCCGAATAGCTGGGACTATGGGCCTCTGCTTAAGCCTTCTCTTTCTATCCCTGGGCTGGGCAGTGGGGCAGGAGTCTCACTTCCTGGTCGTTCTTGGTCCTTCACACAGCAATGCTGGGTTTTAAGACTGCTGTGTTCTGCTTTGCTCAAGCCCTAGACCCTGCCCCTTCTCTTCCAGGATCCACCCCAACATCCCTCCCTCACGCCTCACCCTTTTCCATCCCCCCCCCCCAGCTCATACAATCTGTTCATTCTCTCCTAGGTTAAAGAAAATGAAGTAACTCTAAAGCACCCCAAAAACAGAGGCTGCTCTTCCCCCTGACTTCTTTCCCCATCCACCCCCTTCCCTCCTCCTTCATCCCTCGGCCATTCCAGCCACATGAACCTGGCACCCCGTGGGAACTGCTCTTTCCCGGCCATGGTGATTTCCATAGACCTGTCCTGACCCAGCATCCCTCATCACTGCCCCGGCCTGTCTGCACTGCACCACACAGCTGAGTGACTTTTTTTTGTGTGTGTATGTGTGAGTTGCTGTCTCCACCTGGCCCTAGGCATCCTTCCTAGTCCCCACTGGTTTCCTCCCTCTTACCTGCTCAGCTGGCTTTCCCTCACAGCCCCGGCTCTGGATGCTGGAGTTCGTGCGGGTCTCCACCCTCCGCGAGCCTAACCCGTCCACAGACTTGACGCCTGACTCCTGACACATCTGAAATGCATCCTTCAGCTCAGACCCTTGCCCTTAAAACAAACTTTCTCATTTCAGTAAAGGGCAGACTCGCCTTG